ACGAGAAAAGGATGTTTAACCACACGGAATGGGCAAAGAGCGCGAGCCAGGGACGCAGGCGACATCAGGACTCGGATCATCAAGCGGGCGGCTCTGGAATTTGAGAATGGCATGTACGCCAATCTGGGCATAGGGATCCCTCTCCTGGCCACCAACTACATCAGCCCCAATATGACAGTTCATCTGCACAGCAAGAATGGGATCCTGGGCCTGGGCCTGTTTTCTTAAAAGAGGAGGTGGAGGCGAATATCACCAATGCAGGCAAGCAGACAGTCACCGTGATTCCTGGAAGCTCTTTCTTTGCCAGCGATGACACCTTTGGTATGATTCGCAGGGGACACATCCAACTGACCATGCTAGGTGCCATGCAGGTTTCCAAATACAGAGACCTGGCCAACTGGGTGATACCCTGAAAGATGGATGGTAGACAGTGGTGCTGGGACACACTTGGAAGGGCCCCTCCACTCAGTACCTGTGTGTCGCTGAAGGCTGTGTGGCAGGGTCATGTTGTCTCTGCTCAAAGTGCTGCAGCACACAGCACCTGCACCAGACAGTTCTGATGCCTCAAACTGGCCTTTGAGACATCCTCCTTCCTAACCCAGCAGGACTGTGGGACATGCATGCCACCCTTAATCTACTGTCTCTCACACTGATATGAAAAAGAGAAAGAACCCACATGAAGCAGGGGATGCAAGCTGTCGCAAGGGCTCCATCAGACTGTCACCCAAAGAAAAGGCCAGGTACTGGACTCCAGAAATAGAGGGGAAACTGGGGAGGTGCCACAGCCAGTCAGAGTGGATAGGATGTCATCTGGCACAGCAAGCTGTACCTCTTGGGCTTCTTGGGGCATCTGATCTGCACTGAGCATCAGGAGGAATCTCTAGCAGCAGTGGGAAAAAAAGCTGAGGTCCAGAGCAGGCAGGTGGGAGGGCTGCCAGGGAGGAGATGAATGGGCCCTTGCTCCTCAGATGACCGTGCCTGAGGAGGTGACCTAAAGGACTAGGGAGTTACCACATCTGGAATTCCCTTGAGACTTCAACCAGGCCTCTGGACTGCCCCTCAGTGTGACTCTGGAGTCACTTCCTCTTGCAGGCTGGGGTGGGGCAGAGGCTGCAGAAAGAAGCCTTGCAGAGGTGGAGGCAAAATGTGGTCCAGCACTGTTGGGGAGCGGGCATAACCTAGGCCGAGAGGCTGGTCCCTGAGCTTCTACCTGTCTTCCTGGGGTGGTGGTTGCCCATAGCTGAACCCCACCACCACCACCACCAGCGGGCCTGCTAGATCTTCCCTGCAGCCAGCAGAAGCCAGGACCCTGCCCAGGGATGTGCTGGCAAAGAGCAGAGCTGTGGCGACAGGGAGCTCTGAGCTCAAGAAGGGGCTGCTTCTCCAGTTCTGACAGAAGACAGTGCCAGTCCCCTAGTCCTCCTGCCTCTGCCGCAGACAGGCCACTGCCACCTACTGGGGAAGCACTGAATAGCATGGCTCTGCTTGCTCTGCTCTCTCTGGGCCTTAGTTTCCACTTCTGTAAAATGAGAACCTGGGATGAGCTGAATCCAGGGGGCATCAGTCTTGCTTACCTGATGTACCAGAGGTACCCAGACTCACTCAGTCCGCTCTGAGGATCTCTGCAGAGCTCTTCTCTGTAATGGATCCAATATGCCATTTGTGCTGCACTCAGGGGACCTCAGGAGGCTCTCAAAACAGCTGCACAGAAGCAAGCCAGAAGTGGTCCAGAATACCGAACACACCCTGCCCACAGGGGCCAGGGCTCCAGGGGCCCAGAGGGCGCCGTGGCCTGCACATAGGGCTGCAGGCTGCCCTGAGTCTAGGCCATCTGTGTGTCAGCGGTCTGTGGGGTCTGCTCCAGTGCCTGGCATTGTGCACATGGCGTCCTTGCTCTCATCCATTTCGTCCCCTGCCTGAGGCGACCTCCCTCACCTTAACCTCTGAGCCTGCAGCTCTGCTTCCTTACAGCACCGCCATTTCTCAGTGGCTGCAGCTGCCATGTCCCACAACCTCTGCATGGCTTCTCTGGGCTTCCTCCAAGTGCCAGCCCGGCAGCTCAAGCCCCTGTCCCTGCAGCTCTGCCCACATCCCTGAGGCAGCCTCAGGGCCCAGCATCTTTCTTTGTGGCAGGTGATGTCACAGGTTAACTTCTGGCGATAAGTTGTTCTATTGAGTGGGCCATGGACTCCTGGTCTGAGATCCCACTGATGAGGGGTGACTTTCTAGTGCACTGTGGGTGGCGCTGGCAGTGTCCTGACCCTGGTAGTCTGCAGCTGGGGTGGATGGACCTGTGTATACACCATGCCTGTAAATGTACACATGTCTGTGTGCTTATGTGCATGCACACATAGGCAAGTCCTTGTGTTGGTGCTCACAGTGGGAGATGCATGTACTCTTATGTCAGTGAGTGTGGCTTAAAGATACAAGAGTGAACAGCAGTGTGTAACTGAGGGTGAGCATTTCCAGTGAGAAGAAGGATGTGTTTTCATCCTCATAAGCAAGCCAAGGAAACCTGACTCTAACGAGAAGCTCCTATCCGTGTGGAAGGGAAGGCAGATCTGCTCAAAGGCATTTTATGCATTTAAACCATTTATTGTGGCAATGTATTGTAATAGCTGCAGAAAGGGTTATGTTAGAAAGTTGAAAAAGTACAAACTTCTTTGCTATACTGGTAACTGTGTAAAATGTAAGTCAGCACATGATAATAGACAGAAAATTAAAAGAAGAGTATGGGGGTTGGAGAGAGACTTTATGGATCATATGGTTTTTTTTTTTTCAGAAGTTCTTTTACTGTGGTTTTTATAGTGCTTTTACAATAAAAGATAAATAAAAATGAAAAAACAGGCTATGCACCAGCCACATCAGCATAGGAGGACAGTCTGGGGGCGCAGGTGTCCCTCTCCAGCAGGTCACCCCGAGGAAGGGCCAGATCCTGGACCCCAGGGGGGGATCTCTGGGGTGTGGGGAAGTGGCTGGTTGGGGTGGGTGGAATGTCACCTGGCACTATGAGTGTACCTCTGGGGCTTCTGGGGGCACCGGATCTGCCCTTGGCATCAGAAATCTCCAGCAGCAGTGGGAAGAGGCCGAGGTCCAGAGCAGGCAGGAGGGCAGCCAGGAGATCCTAGTGTGACAGGCTGGTGACTACCTCAGGTCTCTGCACCCTTCTTCCTTCTAACCATCACCTTGGCCTAGTGGACATGGACCAGGGCGTCCCAAAGGTGCTGATGTGGGTGAGCCGGGCTCTGGACTTTGTCCTGATGTCTGCTCTGCTGGCACCGCTGCCTCCTGTTGGGGGCAGTGACTGCCCTGCTCTGGGGCCACGCTGGCAGAGGTGGGCTGAGTGCTCAGTGCCTTGGGCTAGTGCTGCTGTTAATCCCACATTCCTCCTCAGAAACACAGCAGAGAACAGGCCGTGGGCCTTGGGTCCCAAGAAGGGACCCTGGTTCTGAAAGTCACCAGCAGCGGACCCTGGTCATCAGTGAGTGGGCCTGAGGGTCTTCTGCAAAGCAAGAAATATGGGGCTGCTGTGGAGACTAAGAGGGAATTAGTGGGGAAACTGAAGCCAGCTCCGTGCTTCACACCTGCCCAGGTCATAGTTATCCCTGACTGTGACACCCGCACACCCAGCACCCCCTTCCCAGACCTGCCCTTCCGAGACCTGGGCTGCAGCTACCACTGCTGGCTTAGATGAGGAAAATGAGGCTCAGGGTGCCTGCAGGTCCTCAGCCTCCAGCTTCACTGAGAAGCAGAGGTCCCTGCTGTGTGTCTGCATCAGGGCCACCCGCGTGAGTGCACCTCTATCCTGTCTCTCTCTCAGGGCACAGCGTGGACCCGGGTCTGGCCGGTCTGCTGGGGCAACGGGCACCACGCTCCAGACAACCTTTCATGGTCACCTTCTTCAGGGCCAGCCCGAGTCCCATCCGTGCCCCTCGTGCAGTGCGGCCCCTGAAGAGGAGGCAACCAAAGAAAACCAACTGAGCTCTGTGAGGAAGTGGCAGGTGTGGCCTTAGGTGTGTTCCTTCCCTGCCAGGACAAAACTGTCCACGTCTCTGCACAGCAAGCTAGGGTGGGCCTCCTGTTGAAAGAATTCTTTCAGTAAAGTCACGAGCAGGTATTTGAACTTCTCCTCCCTTCCCACCCACTTTTTAAAACCATTTTTCCTCACAAGAAAACATTACATAGGTGCTTAGGGAAGTTTTCAGGGGAAAAACATCACAGCTCCCAGTCTCGGTTCTTGGCACACAAATATCTGTCTGTACACACATCTGGTTATCTTCTACAGTTGGGGTCATACTCTAGGACTGCTTGGGATCTGACTATCCAATTAGATATGTTTTGAAAATTTCTGCTATTAAATAGTCTTTAAAAGTACAAATTTGAGTTTTTCCTCAGGTAACAGGTCCTACAGCAGGTGGCAGGCAACACAGGTCAGGTGACATGGTCACAAGGGGGCTGCTAGTCCCTGGGCCAGAAACGAACTCTCTTCCTTTGTGCCAGGTATGCAGGGCAGGACAGAGTCGAGGGAGTTAGGTGGCAGGGAGGTGTCAGAGATCTCATCTCTGAGGCCCAGGTGACTGCAGGAGTATAAGGCTACAAGTGGACCTCGTGGGTAATTCCGGGGAAGCCACCAATGGCTTCACTGCTGTCCTAGCCAGATCTCAGTAACATGTCTTCCCTGTACCCTCCCTGCCCAATTTTAGTCCTTGTTCCACAGGACTGTGTGAACAGTTCTTCCTTCCAGGGCCACAAGCTAGTTGGTTCCATGTCCCTAAGTGTCACCTGGGAGTCAGCCATGCAGATACTTCACATCACCATCTCCTCCTGCACCAACATCTCAACATCCCTGAGGAGCTGGCATTGCCCTGGCCTCGCTGCTGCCCGCCCTGAGTGCTGTGATTGATCAGCAGTGAGAGGGACGCCTGTGTTTAAGGCTCCAGGTACCTCCAAGGGAGGGAGCCAGGCCCACTGAGAGCAGGAGCCCCTCTGGTAGGCAAAGAGCCAGGTTCCAGGGGTGCACTAGAGGCAGGGCTGGCCTGGGGTCACTGGTGCTGGGGACAAGCAGGCTTCTCCCCTCCCCCAGGCTTATTCTGATCTCAACTCAAAATGGGAAGCAGCCCCACCAAGCAGATCCCTGCTCCAGGAGCTCCTGGGGAGGGGGCTGGGAGCAGGCAGCGGCCCTGGAGTGGGTTTCCGGTGACTGACAGGGCTCGGCCTCAGCCTGTAAGAGATAAGGTGAGGTAGCCAGGCTGGGCCACCACTGGTGTAAGGTACCAGCCTGACAGCTTGCCACATGCTGTGAGACAAGGGACCAGGCCACGACTCCAGCCAGGCAGCTAGAGGCCCTGGCTTGGTTCTTTTACTTTTTCATTTTAAAGAGAATAAAATAAAACAAAACAATGGGAATGATACTGCATTTTGAAAATAAGACAGTAGAAAATGAACCACTTTTTCTTAAGTGTTTTGTAACAACTATTTCAGAAGGGATCTGATAATGCACATTGTTATCCTCTAAACAGATGCTCAGACCACCACACACAGGCATGCAGAGTAAGCACCAAGTTGTCTCTTTACTTCAGCTGCCATCACCTCAGAAATTTCAGATGTGAGCTTCTAATTTCTTTTGCAGCTGTGTCATCAGGGCTTGTCCTGGGTGGGCTGGAGGTCTGAGATTGCACCCTGCTTCTTTGCCCTCCAATCTGAGGTTGCTGGGGTGGCAGAGCGGTACAGGGCAGCTGCTCATCAATGTTCCCCTAAATGCAGTGGGGCCTCGGGGGCGTGGCCTCCTCTCCTCCGGGCCCCAGGCAGGAGGAGGGAGAGAAGGGCAGGAGGGGCCCTCATTAGAAGGTGCAGCTGCTGCTTCTCCTCCAGCGGTGGCAGCCTCACTAGGTGGGGAGGGCATTTCTTTCTAATGAATTGACTATTACATTTCTAAAATTCTAGAATGGCCAGCAGACCATTGAAAGATACCACTTTAGGCTCGGTCTTGATTCAGGGCCATTCTGGCTTGATTCTTATGTCTCCCCAGCACCAAGCACTGTGCCTGCCAAAGAACGGGTCCTGACATTCTGCGGGAATCTGGTTCTGATGATGGCTCAGTAGGTGAGTGTGCACCAGTGAGTGTGACTGATTACTGGAACCTACCAGAAACGTGACTGGCTATGAAAGAGCAGAAGGGAGCCAAGCTAGCCCAGCAGGAAAGAAGACAGGCAGTCTGTATGGCTGTCACCTCTGTGCCCTGTGCGGGCCTGTAACAGGGTCTCCCCAGGGGCTCGGCCTCAGGACAGCTGAAGGGAAGATGCTGACTCCTGCCCACCTCTATACGTACCTGGGGCCACACAGGAGGCAGCAGGACAAAAGCCAGGATGGGCCAGGGCAGATCTGGGAAAGCCCATGGACACACTCAGCTGCCTGTGGTGGGGAGAGCGGCCCTGTGCTGGCTCCCAGGCAGGCTGCACCTGGCAGGGGCCCAGAGCAAGCCCAGGCCGTGCTGTGGAGGAGCTGCTCCAAGCTGGCCCCGAGGAGGAGCTAGGACGCAGTGCTGCCTGCTCACGCAGGACACCCTCAGTGTCTGCTGAGCGGGCAGCTCCTTCCTGGGCATACGGACAAGTGCAGAGGGAGCAAGTGGCACAGCCTCACATGTACTCCCCACAGTCGGCGATGATCACCTTCTACTTTGGTTTCCCGTCCTTGCTGCCCTGGGCCTTTGTGGGAGGAACAGGAGAGGAGGCTGAGTCAGGGGAGTGTGTGTGTGGAGGAGATAAAGAGGCCGGGGAAACCCCCCTGCCCCTGGCCCATCTTCCCACTGGACTGGGGTCCAGGGCCTGGGAAGGGGGCCTGTTCCCCGCCACCTACTTCAATCTGCCGCAAGACATCCAGGCCTTCGGTGACCTCTCCAAACACCACGTGCTTGCCATCCAGCCAGTCCGTCTTGTCACAGGTCAGGAAGAACTGGGAGCCGTTGGTATTTGGGCCAGAGTTGGCCATGGAGAGGCGGCCTGGGAGACAATGACCTGTCAGCTCCCTCTACCCTGTCCCCAGTGAGACAGCCTGTGTGCACATAGCCTTCCACTGCAGCCTCACCCGGGGGCACAGTCCTGTGGGTGAGCCCACCGTGTCTTTCCTTCAGTTGATGAGGTTAAAATAGGATGAACAGTTGTTTTGATCATTTTATATTCATCTGTCCTTCATTCACCAATTCATTCATTCAGCAAACACTTATTGTCTGCCTGGTAATGAGATTCTTGTTGTGCCCAGAGGATGCTGGCTCCAGTCCTGCTTGGAAAGCACAATCTGGTGGGAAAGGATCACTCAGAAGATAAGTTTGAGACTTGATCCAACATGGCTGACCAGAGGCAGCAGCGCATCAGACACGCTCAGTAAGATTCCCTGAAAATAAAGGTATTCGGGAGTGGGGGAGGGATGGCATCCTGGAACAGAAAATTAATAGGAAAGATGATACATGTAGATGGCACCAAACATTTGGACACTTGAAAAGGGGAAGCAGTGCTGGTGTGGCTGGTCCACTGCCCCCACCCCTCGCTCCTCCGAGGAGCAGCTGACATGTGACAGTGTTGCCCACTAGCGCTGCAGAGCCCACTCCCGGGACAGACCCTGCCACACAGCCTCTCCCTCCTCGGCGACCTCCCAACACTGGGGAAAGCGTTCCCGCACTCACAGCCAACAAGGAACCCACCCCGCCCTGCGGCCACCACTACCACCGCACCCCGAGCCCACCCTGCATTTCCCTGTGGCTGTCTGCAAAGGGACTGCGACCCAGACAAGCAGGGAACCATGTGGACGCCCAGGCTTCCCCGCATGGCAGTCACGAGGAATTTGCGTGTGTGCTCTCTCGTCACAGTGCTGGGTCTAGGTCCCTGCCTTTTTGTTTTTGTTTTTTTACTTTTTTGCGTTGATTTAGTTGTTGTTTATTTTCTCTTTCTCATCTCCCTATTCCTTTTCTTGAACTCTAGCATCTATCTGTAGCAACACTATTTGCTTAACCTTCTACCCTATTTTCTTTTTGTTCTCCCTGATCTTACCTAGCCCTCCTCTTCCCTGGCCCCTTCTCTACCTCTCAGGTCACAAACAAAATCAACAGGCTCTGATAACCTCCTAGTTTTTCTTAACAGGAAATTATACCTCCCTCTTCCTACATCCCACCCTGCCCCTACAAATATCTTCTTAAAACCCTCAACCTTAACCCTTCACTCCAACTATAGAAGGACGCATAACAGGATACGATCCCCAGCGTAATGTTCTGACCATTATCATTTCTCCTATCTATCTCTCCTCCTGCTGACTTACACTCCTCTCACATACCTCTCACATCCCTCCCTTGCCGTCCCCTCTCCTTCCACACTGCAGACTAACTGCTAATAACAAACAGAATAGGCTATAAAGGTAAAAGTATAAATGCAAAATGTAACTCATATAAGTAATGATGCATGATCTGATCTGATGACGCTGTCATAACCGATAGTAATTCTCCCCTCACAACACAGTGACGGGCCAAACCATTTACATTAATACAATAGCTCTGGACAAATAGAGTCACAAACATACCGCTGAAGGGAAAAGTTCTTCACAGTCTCTTCTCACTCTACTTGATCTCAGTCTTCAGCATGTGCTCACACACACACACACACACACACACACACACACACACACAGAAACACGGGAATCAGGACAACAAAAGGCCCTCAGAGCCTCCCAACTCTCCCAAGGCCAGATCCCGGGGGAGCCAATGGAGCAGAAAGCAAAGACCAGGTGGTGGGGCTTTACAAATGGGTTAAAGAAGATATAAAGAAACTTGGCAAGTTCAAAGATGTGACCCAAAAGCTCATGGAATGACCAGTGTGGATATGGGAGAAACAAATAAAACACTGGGAGACCTGACCAACTAGTTAAAAACATGAATGACAAATTTACCAGACATAAACTCTAAGAAGAGGTATCTGATAGAGGTCCAGATATAAAAAATTGAATAGATTTCATAAATTGCAGAAATGACCAGTGTGAAGACAAAGTGTCTGAAATTGAGGGGAAAATGGTAAATTATAATGAATAACTCAGAGAAGGCATAAAAGCAAAAAGAAAACAAGGAAATTCACCCAGCAGCTACTAGATAACACTAAAAAGATCAAACTAAAACTAACTGGAGTTAAACTGTAAGACAGTACACACGGAGTAAAAATTTGCTCATCAAAATCATAAAAGAAGACTTCTCAAGTGTAAAGGAAGAGGTCAGCATGTAAGTAAGTTAGACTTGCAGTGCACCATTCAACTATGATTTTAAAAAGCTCCTATGACACATTTTAGTCAAAATTCCGAATGCCCCACAACAACACTAACAAAAAATTGGAAAAAGATAACATGTAAAAATACATGCACAGGGTCCTGGAGCATCTATCTTTATAAAACAAACACTGCTGGATGTAAACGATCAAACAAACACCAGCACAGTAAGTGGGTGACCTCAATACCCCACTTTCACAAAAAGAGAGATCAACTAAATAAAAAAATTTGCAATAAAGAGCTATCAGAGCTGAACCACACCTTTGAACAACATCTCTGGCCATTAGAAAAATGCAAACTAAAAAAACACTGATATTTCACCGTGATGTGGTGGTGGACATCTGTAATGTCAGCACTTAAGAGGCTGAAGCAGGAAGATTGCTGTGAGTTCAAGGCCAGCCTGAACTGCATAGTGAAATTGTCTCAAAAAGACAAAAAACAAAAACAAAACCCTAAGATTTCATCTTAAACTAGAAAGAATGGCAATCATCAAGAAATAAAAAATATGCTAAAAAATTAAAAAGGAATCAAATAATAGCTAAGCATGGTGGTACATGTCTGTATTCAGGAAGCTAAGGCCGGAGGATCACGGTGAGTTTGAGGCAAGTCTGGGCTAGACAGTGAGTTCAGGACAGCCTGAATTGCATAGAGAGACTCTGTCTCAAAAAACCAAAATAAGAAAGAGAGGGAGAAAGAAAGGGTGAGACAGAGAGAGGCAAGCAAGCAAATAATAACAAATCCTGATACGGCTGTGATGGAAAAGGAACCCTTCTACATTGTGGGAATGTAAACTAGTACAACCATTATGAAAATCAGTAAGGGCACTTTAGTTTTTATATAATTTTTTTAATTTTTATTTTAAAGGGGGTAAAATTAAACACAACAAAACAGAGCTAAATAGGACATAAGAAAACAATGTAAGAGATATAAATTTCAAAGCTAGATGATCTGAGATCTTCACTATCTATCATATTGTCTCCTGTTTTCTTCCAAATAGTTGTCTATGTCTTTGCATACAGATAATTCATACAAAACAACATAGTATAAAACTGATCTGAACAGAATGAGGAAAGCGTTGTAGGGTCTTCAAAACCAGACAACAGGGAAGTCACTAATGGCTGTTGTAGAGTCTCTCGTTCTCTTCAAAATAGCTGTCCATACTTTCATGTATATTGAAGTTCAACAAAACGTAACAGGCAATTGCTTGGTTTCCCGGTGCTCCAGGTCCCAGCATGGCTCGGGTCCCAGTAAACGCTGGTGGCTCCTGTGCTGGGCTGCATAGAGAGCTCACAGCTGCTCACCAGGGGTGGTAGGGGTTGCTTCAAGCTGTTTCTTTCTAATGAATTGACCATTTCACTGCCCAAGTTTTGAAATGGCCAACAGACCATAGAAAGACATCTCTTTAGGCTCCTGCTTGAAACCAACAGTATCAGGAAGCTGTTGGCCTTGATTCAGGGCCAGACGTATGGACCGTTCTCAAAGTCTAAAAATAAAAATTCTATTTGACCCAGCTCTTCCCCTTCTATCCCAAAGAATTAAAGACAGGATGTTACAGTAATGCAGGTGTACTTATGTTTATAGCAGCACAATTCACAACAGCTAAATCCCCAAAAATGAAGTTCATGTATTGCAAATGTGTACTAGTAAAGTAAAATAAATAAATATGCAACATAAAATAGTAAAGGTAGATTCATCTCAGGAGTGCAAGGTTGACTTGACATCTAAAATTCAATTAATATAATGTGCTGTATCAACAGAATCAAGGATAAAATTGCATGACTATCTCAGTAAAGGCAGAAAAAGCATTTGACAAAATTCGACACCCCTCAATGATTAAAATCACTCAAGGGGCGGGGATGTAGCTCAATGGCACAATGCCTACCTGGCAAGCACAGTTAGCCCTGTTAAAATCAATCAATCAGTCAATCAATCAATCAATCAAAACAAAAAACAAACTAGAAATATAAGGTGAACTTCCTTGATATGATAAAGAGCACATACAAAAGGCCAGATGGCAAAAGACTGAAGGTTTTCCTCTAAAACCAAGAGCAAGACAGTGATGTCTACCCTTACTATTCTATTCAGTATTGCTTTGGAAGTTCTATTGGTAACTACAGAAAAAAATAAAAAGAAAGAAGTGAAAGGTCTCCAACTGGAAAGGAAAATGTAAATCTATGTCTGCAGATGGCACAATCTTATATAATGAGAGAATCCTAAAGAAACTACTGAAACTATTAAAGATAATGAACAAGTTCAAGGTGGCAAGACCCAAGGTCAGTACGCAAAAACAAATTGTATTTGTGTAAATTAGGAATAAACAGCATGAAAATGAAATCAAAAAAACAATCCCACTTAAGGTAACATCAAGAAGAATAAAACACTCAGGAGTAAGCTGAAAAAAGTATAAAGCTCATACTCTGAAATCTCACACAAAACATCCTTGAAAGAAATTAAAGATCTAAACAAAAAGCCATCCTACATGCACACATTTGAAGACAATATTGGCAAGATGAGGACATTCTCGAGCTGACCTCTAGAGTTAGTGTAATCTCTACCAAAAATCTCAGCTCACTTTCTTTTTGCAAAAATTGACAAGTTTATCCCAAAGTTAAAATGGCAATGCAAGAGAATCAGAGTAAGGAAAAAAATCTTTTTTTTTTTATTTAAAGAGAAAGAAACAACAACAACAAAAAAATACTTGGAGGGAAAAAAAAGGGTAGAAATAATACAGGATTACAGAAAAATAAACGTTAAGAAATCACCAGTTGATAAGTTACATATTGTCATCTTAGAAATAGTTGTTCAGGTTACAAAATTAAAGTATGTAAAGTGACATTCAAATAGTGACACTGCCAACAGTTCTGCTCAATGATATATAACAAAAACTTAGTAATATGGTTATCAGTCCTACACACTTGTTTTTTATCTTAAAGAGGGTAAGATTAAACATATCAAAACAGAGCAAAACAGTTCAAAAAGAAACAATTTTTTAAAAATACAGATTTCAAAGCAAGTCCACTGGAGATCTTCACTGTTTATCTAATTGTCTCTAGTTTCTTCCAAATAGTTGTCCCCATCTTCA